TGAGAGAAGTGTAACAATGACCTCTGACTGCAATCCAGATGTTCCCAAGAATCGCATAGATAGATAGGCACCAGAAATGGCAATTGATCATGATAGCCAGGCATAGCTGGGCGCATCCCCATTTGGGAGCTGCTGCTTATTGGAAAGAAAACACTTTAAATCAGAAACTATCCGAATAGCTTCTCTGTGGTGCAGAGGAAGAGGGATGGGGACCTCATTTAGGAAAGCACAGCAACACTTAATTCTGTCTTATTAATGAGCAGTGCAGCCCAAAAGCTGCAGTATATTGAAGTCGTTAGAAGGATGTTAATTTTCAACTTTAATAATTTGAAATAAAAGGTAACAAGTGGAAGAGCCACCATTCAGCTTCTCCTGTCACACACAACACTGTACAACAACAGAAAAATAAGATTCAATTAAATAAGAAATTCTAAAGTAAAACCGCACTGCAAATACAAATACATCAATGTTTCACATTATTTTACTCCAAGCAGGGGTGAACTACATTTCTGTTGTGAAAATACTCAGGTTTAAAGACTGAAACTCTTGTTGATAATGTTTTTAAGCAAAAGGGTAAACAATTTCATATAAAATACAATAGTTTCAAAAACTCAATTTATTTTGATAAATCAAATTATTTATTTACTGGATTTAGAGAATGTTGGAGATCACTTGCATGAGTGTATCATTTGTATTTTTTTAAAATGTTTTGTTTATGATGATGCATGTTTAACTTGAGGGCATTGTAAATTTAAAACCTGTACAGACCTGTACAGTGAGTTCTGCTATGAGGTTAAAGACTCCTTTATTCCATAATCCACCCAAGGTGTAATAGTTTAGAAAAAACAAGAAGATTTGAATTTTTAAAATGAATAAACCATTTTACAACTCTAAACTTCTGTGTAACATTTAATCATGTTTTTGTCTCTTGTGTGAATAAGATGATGTCTTTTTAAATGGCTTTGCCGATTAAAAGTCTTACCACACTGACTGCAACTGAATGGTTTCTCTCCGGTGTGAATACACTGGTGGGCTCTTAAGGATCGTGAGTCAGTAAAACTTTTCTCACACTGACTGCAGCTGAATGGTCTCTCCCCTGTGTGAATGCGCTGGTGGGCTTTTAAGGTACGCGAGTCATTAAAACTCTTACCACACTGATGGCAACTGAATGGTCTATCTCCTGTGTGAGTGCGCTGGTGCATTTTTAAATAGCTTTGCCGACTGAAACTCTTCCCACACTGAATGCAGCTGAATGGTTTCTCTCCTGTGTGAATAAACTGGTGAGTTTTTAAATGGCTATGCCGACTAAAACTCTTCCCACACTGACTGCAGCTGAATGGTCTCTCTCCTGTGTGAATGCGCTGGTGGGCTCTTAAGGTACTTGAGTCACTAAAACTCTTCCCACACTGACTGCAGCTGAATGGTCTCTCTCCTGTGTGAGTGCGCTGGTGCATTTTTAAATGGCTTTGCTGACTAAAACTCTTCCCACACTGACTGCAGCTGAATGGTTTCTCTCCAGTGTGAATAAACTGGTGCGTTTTTAAATGACTTTGCCGATTAAAACTCTTCCCACACTGACTGCAGCTGAATGGTTTCTCTCCTGTGTGAATTAATTGGTGTTTTTTTACACTGCCTGCCTGACTAAAGCTCTTCCCACACTGATGGCAGGTGAATGATATCTCTCCCATGTGAATGCACTGGTGGGATCTTAAGGTACTTGAGTCACTAAAACTCTTCCAACAGTTCCCACAATTGTCTGAGCAACTAAAATTCCTCCCACATTGATTGCATCTGAATGCTCTGTGCTTTATGAGAGTGTGCTGGTGACTTTTTACTTTACCTGATTGCTGAAAACATTGCTGTTGTCTGTGCTGTACTGACATTTTCTTCACCTCATCTGAACAAGGTTTAGGATGAGACCTCTTGATCTTCTGACCTGCAGTGAGCTGGTGATATTTTAAGTTGCTTGAATGATCAATCCACTGCTGTACTGACAACCTCTGCATTATTGCAGAAGAAGGATTCATCAAGTCTTGTGGGCCTCCCTGCTGTTTCTCCCCTTCCTCTCTGTACTGACTCTCCTCTGTGTGCTGTAACTCAGTCCTGTACTCTTCATCAGTATGCTGCTCTGCAGGCTGTGGCAGCTGGGATCCAGTTTCCTGCTCCCCTAGACTGTAAAAATTCAATTCCTTCTGTTCCTCTTCCTTGTGCCCTTGTACAGATACCGATTCCACTTCATTGAAATGCTCTGCAATATTATTAGTGTCTAAATTATTACACTTCTCTGTAAAGTCCATAGATACTAAAGGAACATTCATTTGTTTAAATCCCTTATGCAATGACAGGCGCTCCACTTTAACAGCACAAGACCTTATTATGAAGCCCTGTAGGAGCTGCTGTTGTTCCTTCCTGTACTGACTCTCCTTTGGGTGCTGTAAATCAGTGCTGTTCTCTTCACCAGGTCCATTCATCTGCTGCTCTGCAGGGTCAATCAACTGGGGCTCTATGTCCTGCTTTTTAAGATGTAACTTATCTAGGTGTTCTTTGTGGTTTTGTACAGAGCCACAGTCCAGTTCATTACAACCTTCTTTAATATTGTTCATGTCCAGATTATTAATCTTCTCTGTAAAATCATCAAATACTAGGAAACCAGATGTCTCACTCTCAGGCTCTGTCTTTATCATGGGCACACAGTCCAGATCCACAACACTCTGTCTGCTCTCTGTGTGCTGTTCACTGAGTTTTTCTTTCTCTTCTGCAGCAGTGGGCTCTGTCTCCTGCATCAGACTGGAGCCCCACTCCTCCTCACTGTGCTGCTGTTCAAGAGGGGCCCTTTCCCCAGCATGAGAGAAAGCACTGGCCTCTGGCCCTGCAAACACAGGACAAGAGGACAAAATCTTTTACATGGGCTGAGAGTAGAATTTAAAAATAACACCATGGAGAAACAAGAAAAAAAAACTTTAAGATACAGGGATTTTTAGCATCTAGACCACCCCTGGCCCCTAGAGGTTAGTTTTAACCGTCCCTCGAGGTAAAAATAAATTTGTCAATATTCGCCATTTTCCACCTTGTTTGGGGCTATTTTTTCTTACATTTCATTATTCTTGCCGTTAGATGGCGCATGAAAGCAATACCAATTTGATTTGCTGGAGAATCAGTGTGTTTGAGAAATGTTTCCCCGATTCCCCTTTAAAGACAGTGAGGAGTCCATCTCAGAAGTTAAAATACATTTTTATTTCATGCGCATGGGGGGAAAAACACAGAGATGCTTGGGGTATTTTTCTCCAAGTAATTCAGCCAGAACAGTCCTTAAATATTTTTCTGTTATCTATCAAACTTTCCTGTGCTTACAAGATTAGCAGTGTTCAAAAATCACGCACAACCTCCTACCTTCCGATTCACTCAAGATAACTTCTTTTGATACAACTGGTTACTTAGGTTCCTAGCACGCATCCCTATAAAATGATATAGAATTAAATAATAGCCCTTGTTCTAAATGTCCACCTTGTAAAATATTGCATCCTCTGCAAGAAAAAAATAAAAAAATTCAAAGAGACCCTTTCAACAAGTGGGTGCATCATACTGCAATCCTCCGTCGAAATGAGCGGAGTGAAGAAGCAGAAAGATGACAGTGAATGCAGAGTGTTCAACAAAGAATGGACTGCAAAATACCTTTTCACAGAGGTTGGAACAAAGGCTATATGTTTAATTTTAAGGAAAGTGTTACAGTGTTCAACAAATACAATCTCAGTTGGCATTTTTCTACCAAACATGTTAACTATGCTAGCAATCTGTCATGGGAGGAGTGGGCTAATAAAGCTTCCAAACTAGTTCCTAGTTTACAGGCTCAGCATAATGTTTTTTCCCTCCCTTCTTCCATCCAAGAGGCCAGCACAAAGGCACACCAACTGCTCACATATAACATTGCTAAACAAAGCAAGCTATTCTCTGAAGTTTTTTTTTAAGGAGTGTATGATAGAAACCGCAGATATTCTTTGTCCAGAAAGCAGAGCAAATTTGAGAAAATAAGTTTATCACACAGAACCCGTCGGGTCGAGGTAATCGGTGAAGACTTGGCTTGTGAACAAGAAGTTGGAGAACTTTAAGTTATTCAATTGCATTGGCTGAAAGTACTGATATAAAGGACACTGCACAGCTTCTAATTTTTGTCAGGGGAATTAATGGCAGTTTTGAAATTACGGAGGAGCATTTATCAATGGAGATTTTTAAAGGAACAACGAAGGGCTCGGACTTGTATGACAAGGTGTCACGTTGTATTGACCAAATGAAGCTACTGCGGAGCAAATTAGTAAATGTGACCACAGAATGATCTCCGAATCTAACTCAGAAAAACGCTGGACAACTGAAGATAATGCAGGACAAACTGAAAGAAAATGACCCTGAGGCGGAGGTAATATTTCTTCACAACATCATTCATCAGGAAGCCCTGTGCAAAAACATGCTGGGCCTCAATCATGTTGTGAAAGCTGTTGTGAAACTTGTGAACCATATGCGCGAGGGAACTTAATCATCGTCAGTTCATTCAGTTTCTTGAAGATATTGGCTCAGATCACCATGACTTACTCTATCATTCACATGTTCGTTGGCTCAGCTTGGAAAAAGTATTCAAGTGAGCGTGGGAGCTGAGAGGGGAGACTGACTCCTTTTTGGATAACCTGGGGAAAGCCACAAATTTCCCTGAGTTCTGAGATTCAGACTGGCTCTGCGACTTTACGGTCACTCTGGACATTTTCGCTCACTTGAACGAGCTTAACATGAAACTGCAAGGAAAAAGTGTATTTCTTCCAGAACTGCACTCGAATGTGAATGCATGCAGAGCTAAGCTCACCTTGTTCTCAAAACAGATGATCAGCCACTCATTCACACATTTCCCCACTCTTGGGACACTTGACGTGTCACACGCTCAAGAACTAAGGCACAACATGTCCCTCACAGACTTGCATGGAGAATTTTCCCATCAATTTGCTGACTTTGATTAAATTGAGAGGTCTCTAACGTTGGTGTCATGTCCTCTGACTCTGAATTATGAGACGGCAGCACAAGAATTGCAGCTGGAATTGATCGATCTGCAGTGTGACATAACTCTGAAGGAAAAGTTTGATTCTCTAAAGCCGAATGATTTATATGCATCACTGAAGGAGGCCAAGTTTATATTTGACAATCAGCACAAAAGATACTGGTGTTATTCAGATCTACTGACGTATGTGAGCAAACATTCAGCTTGATGAACATCAACAAATCACGTCACAAATCACAGTTGAGTGACCACCACTTGAGCTGTGTATTACGGATTTCCACAACACATCTATCAAGGAATACACAAAAAGAGGTGATCAGCTGCACAGCTCTCATTAATCAAGTAG